GTTCTTTATTCGATACTTATTTTCAAATATCTAAAACTATAAAAATATCTAAAAACATATCCTAATACGTGAAGATCAAGATTAGTTTAAATTTCCACAGGCGGGCATTGGGTGAAAAGATATCAATGCTAGCAGTCTAAATAATAGACACCTAACTACACCTAACCGGCAGAAAATTTATCTTTCTTTGACATTTTGGATTATTCTAGGTAACACTAGTATATAGAATCAAATTGTGATCACTTTGTCATAGAAATGTGATAACCAAAATAACAATGTAATATTGATATAATAGAAAAAGTAATGTAGGGAGTTTTTTATTATAAGCATTAAATACTACCAAATCACCAAACTAATTGATAGCATTATGGTATTGGCCTACGATGGTAAAAAACCCATGCCCGAATATGGGGCTCGAACCCTGGTCCTCGGTTGAATTGCCTTAACGTCTCGCTATAATTGGGGGCGGAAGCTATAAAAGATCAAATATGTGGATGAGAAAATTAAACAAGAAATCAGTTTGTTTTTGAGAAATCATCTAAAAGTATCAAAAAGATTCGTTTTTGATAGTGATTTGAATTTGGCAAGATGACAAATATCGGATGACTCTTATGATTTCATATTTTATCTTATATTTAATTTTATTTGTAAAAAATATGTTAATTCAAGGGTGCAAACCAGTTTGAACCGAACCGGTTGAACCTTAATCCGAACGAAAACCATTCGAACTGAAAGCAAATTTTTTTCAAATATTTTTTTGTTCCAAATAAAATGTTGGAGCGAGATCCAGTGCCAAAGCATAAATTCCTTGGGCCACAACTCTTGCCTTTTTAATTTTTTACCATATTTGGTAGCTGCCCTTTTTGGGATCTGAATCTAGCAAAAAAATATGAAGGGCTCTTCAGACCAACGACAAAATACTAGTTTAAAATTTAATATTTGTAATGCAAATTGAAATGTTGCAAATATCTATCAAATTAAGTTTCCAACAAATGGATGTCTGAAACTTGGCGAAACTAACGATATTTTGTTTTAAGAGATTTCAAACCTCAATCAGATATAACGCCTACACGTAAAAATCCTTGCAAGTGAGCAACAGATCCCATTATTCCATCTGTGATGGAGATCCTCAATGCTAACGTATTTAGATATAGCTCTGCCTGCTCTTCATCCTCTCATGCCCGTAGTTTATATCGAAGCACCCTTAATCCTAAAGGAAGCACCTCTTCTCGTTTCCCGCGGCGTAAACTCACGGCCGGCTCCTGCCGATGAGGATGGCCCGTCCTCTCCTTAGTGATCTTAGTGGACGCAATATGTCTTACACACTGGTAAATGCATCGCGGATTTTTTTTTATTATTATCGCAATTAATGAATTAGTAATCTGCGACTTGGGGCCATTTTTTACGACCGTTTTTAGTGAGTTTGTGCTGGTTATAAAAAGAAGCTTACAGATTGGTGTCATTTTAGCTTGTGGTATAAGTTAAATATTAATTTTGCACACTTTCAGTCTTTTGATATATATAATTTTCAATATACAGAAAAAATTCATAATTTCTAGGGTATTTCAGCTTCGTTAACCGCCAAGATTACAGACAGATCCACAATGGAGCATGACTCTCAGTCGGTCTGCTTGTACTCGGCACACACACACGCCTACATACATGCATACATACACACATGCATACTTATATTTGCATAGTGTCTCATTTGTATGTCTGTTTGCGGCTTTTGTTTTGTTTCCAGTTTACATGGGTTTTTCGCGCCACGCTTACTCACCCTACATTTACATGCATATATGTATGCATGTATGTATGTATGTACGTTTGTATGTATTATGCCGCCTGAAGGTAAAAATTCCAAGATGTATTGGAACAAATAAACTTAGCCCTAATAAGAATCTGTTTTAATATGTACATATACATACATACGCATTGCTAGGTATGCTATGTTGTACAATTTTGTAGAGTATAATCTTTAGGTCGTCATAATACCAGCATTCTCTTGAAATTTTTGTGTTTCGTTTTATGTATATACATATGTACATATCTAAACTAAAGCTGTACATTATATTTCACTTTATTATTTCCTCTTAAGATTAGAATTTTAACAACGTCAGGCTGTAAACATACATAAATTCAATCTAAGAATGTTTTTTTATTTGAGTTGTTGTTTTTATTTGTGGTATCTAACGACCATAGTTTAATGTTATTCTTAGTTTAAGGTGCCATTCTTTTATACGAATTGGGTTTTCTTGTTCCTTTAGTATTTCATCTCTGTTCTCATGCTCAACAAGGGCATTAGCAGTTCGACGTTGTTAGGTTTTGCACACGTCATTCGCTCTCTCTCTCTCTCTCTCTTTCGTTCTCTTATGTAGTCCGATTTTTAGGTACGCCTGCACTCGCTACGATCTACAATCCGCACTAATAAGCTTGTACTTTTGTATTGCTTAGCCATTGTTTTATCATTTGTTTTGATTTACTTTGTGTGTGGCGCTCTCTCTCTCTTTCTCTGTGCTTGTCTCTGTTTACCTAGCCGTTCGTCATTCATTTGCTTTGCTGCTGCTGATTCTCTCATCCATAGACACATTGCGTGCCACAGAGAGCTTCCGCTAATCGGTTAATCGTTTCAATCGGTTTTACGTACAATATGCACAATATTTGAATTGTTGCCGTTGTTTTCTATTTTCTGTTATTGTTGTTGTTGCCATTATTAATTCTCCATCAGGTATTGTTTACGCTGTGCAAATAAATTATGATATATTACGCGAGCATTTAGAGAAAACGCAGTCCTCAAACCCAAGCCCGAACCCCTCGCCTACGCACTCGTTACCATATCCGGCTCACACACACACACACGCATATACACATACACACCCATTAGTCAAGTTTGAATGCCTTCGATTAACGTTACAGTAATTACACTTGGGTGTCGGCACTTCAATCGTTGTTTAGTTGCGACGCGCTTGGACCTTGTAGTCAGCGTTGACTGTGGTCGTGCGAAAGACACGCTTTTGTGTACTCTTATTATAAAACTGTTGCAATGTTCACTGTTAATTACCGACTATAACCGAAATTATGTATTTGCATATATACCAACTAACTAAGCCTCTAGCGATAATCAATGGGTTAATGGTTAACGAAAAAATCTTAATGCGATGGAAAATATGATATTACTTACCTGGTCTTACCCAACCTTGTCCGGTCCATATTTCATCTTCAAATTTAACCTTCTTGAATTTCGCGTCTAAATATCTGAAAATGAATTTGAAGTCAGTCGAAAAAAGATCCAAAAGTTGAAATGAATATGTTCCGTTCATTTTAGTCCCGTTGTGTGATGCTTGCAGCCAAAACATAAACTTTTGAGCGGCTTTTCTATCCAAGAGAGGTATATTCTGCTATGTTATGAAATACTTCGAAAATTCAATTTCACAAAGAAATTTAAAGGTTAGTTAGTCGCCAATCAGATGGCAAAAAAAAGTTAAATACAACCGTAGTTCCCCAAATTTCCACACTTGCGGATGTAATTTCCCAAACCCCGTCATAGCGTGCTCCTTCATCAGATAAGGTAAGGTAAGTACAAATTTCAGCTCCTAGCTCCTACAGCTTGGGGTGTGCGTCACTCAGTCAGGGCAAACAGTAAATATGAAGATCTATGTAAATACATACATACATATGTACACAAAGCCATGTCGGCTTGTCCGTCTATATATGTATTTTGTTACATGCCAACAAGTCTTTCTGCCTGGTATTCATCATGATGAACCATGGAAAGTACGTCGGATCGAACTATTGTTTCACTAAGCTAACGTATAAACTATTAGTGGAAAGTACAGATATATGTACGTATGTTAAAAGATAAGATTATATTAATTCATTCTCAGAAAGTAGGTACTCAGTTTTGAGTTATCATAATGGCAAATGATGCTAGAATCGACCCGGTTCATTATATCTCACTATCTCATATATAAGTCATTGAAAATATAAGTCAAACAGTAAGTTCTTTGATGCGAAACTTGTTTACCTTTAAAGGTATCCGGACTAATCTACGAGCTTAACTATGCCCAAGATACTAGTTATCAAACAAAACAATATCAAACAGATATATACGCCGGCATCGTCCGGTTCATTATATTACTATATAATTTAGCCTGTTTTCCTTTAAAGGTATCCGGAATAATCAACGAGATTAATTATGCCCAAAGGAAACCGTCCTTTGTTTTCATTTCATTTGCGATTCTTTTATACCCATGAACCATAAACAGTTATTAAATAAATATGACGTTGCCAGACTCTTTGCGGCACGGAGCTAAGTGGGGTGCGCCTCGGCAATTTGTGAATACGTAAATGTGTGAGTTTGGGTGTTTGTGCCTGCAATTTTGCAATTTTGCGCTGCGTGGGGCCGGTTGCACGTTCGCTTATCAAGCAGAAACGGTTTTGGCGTGGTTAAGTGGAATGTCTTGCGAAACAGTTCGCAGAAGTGCATTAGCAAATTGAAAGGGTAGCGCGACAGCTGCTGGGTTCCCACGCAGTCTTGGAAAGATTTGTTATTCAGTCGGTCAAGTGTGTTTGTGGATAGTAAAGGTAAAGGGCTAGCCACTATTGACCTATTGCACTGATTCTCAACCATGAATTGAAATGGAAATGAAGCTACAATCAAAGTTGTGTGACAATTGTCGTGTGGAGGCATAAAACATTTAACAGTTTATCCGGTCAAGTTTTTTTTTTTTTTCAAAATTAACGGTCACCGAATGTTTTTCGTTTGTGGAAATTTGTTCACATGTCAAGTTCATGTCAATGCGACCACATCCACATCATTTGGCCATATCATTTACATAATGCATAGCGTGTGACAACAGCTGCTCCCTTAACCCGAAGTTAGTCAACTTACACTGCAAATCAATTATTTATTGAGTAAAAAAAGTCAACTCATCATAAATAAATACACGGGCTTTTATGGCCTGACCATGATTCATCTGGGTAACCTTTGACTCTTTTCACAGCTGACGGCGGCACGGCAAGGCCAACACATGGAGTTTAACGCCTGTCTAATAACAACAGCGAGAACAACAACAGCGAGTACAAAACCAGCGAATACAACACCAGCGAGTCTCGCAACGGCAGCGAGCAACACGCCCAGCCCCTCGACCACAAACAGCAGGCAGCCAAGCGGTCGAGCTGCAGCGGCGCCATTAAAGTCAAGACCACCGGGCTGCACGGCCACAGCAGCCTAGAGGGAGCGACAGAAAACGGAAGGAGAAAGAGACGGCGATAGATTCTATATAGCCAATATCAGTCGATCGACAACGGATTCAACATATCCTTGTGCATCTCTCTCATAATGGGCACAAAAACGCAACCTCAGTTGGCCAAAGGTAAGTTTATTCTCACTTATAAAAGAGTATTTGGGGCCAAAATCTTCCAGGTCCATTAGTATTAAACTAGTGGGTATTTCACGGCCTTGTTATATATAGCTTAATAGTTTCATCATGGGAAATAAAATCTGCCTATACCATCTGGAACTCCAAGTGTAAAGTTTAACATTTATATTTGAAAATGAGTTTGAAGTCCATCGTATATAGAACCAAAATTTGGAATCAACTGTTTCCGCCCACATAAGTATTTTCGTGAGAATCTTGACGCCGAAAAAAACAAACTTTTTTCATTTAAAAACGTTGGCAATTTTCCGCCAAATTTCCAAAGTTGCGAATGGAATTTCCAAAATTCGTAAACACATACATATATTTACTAAGTTCTTATGTTTTTGGACAAAACTGAAAACTTTGCCCGAAAAATCTTTGAATCGAATTTTATACCTAGGAAGCTTGTATTCTGCGAAAAATGTAAAACACGTCTCAAATGATTTTTCATGCCGATCCTTGGAATTGCATTTGAACCCGAAACTTCACTCACAAAATCACCCCCATTTCCACCAAGGAAGATGGATTTTCCGAAAAGTGTGAAAAATTCCTTAAACGAATTTTAACAAAGATTTTTGAAAATGAGTTTAAGGCCAATCGGATGGTAAGCAAAAAAGTCTCATACAACCGTTTTTCGCGTTTTTTCAACCAGTGCTAATGGAATTTCACAAAATTTCTCAGTCAGTTAGGAATAAAAGTTTTATATAATGAGATTTAAAGCAAACCAATTTGTTTAACTTAAAAAAAAACTTCATGGATGTCTTAACAAGGGAATTCTACGGAACCTGACATTAAACTTAATGTTATAGTACAAAATCACATATTTTAAAATAATCGAAAAAATTTCATTTTATATCAAAAAACAATAATGTCTTACACATCAGTTTCCGCTCAATTTCCGAGCTTGAAAGGATTTTCCAAAACCGCAATAGCGGAAAGAACTTTGCAAATAAGTTTGAAGACAAACTGAAACAAATTTTGTATAGATTTGTATAGATCTAGATTTAGTGGAAATAGTTTTATATAGTTTGTTGTCCCACGTTATAAAACCATAGATCATGATGATAGCATTCGGGAGTGCACGCATCAATATTTTCAAAAGGCTTTTATCGAATCGTAAATAGTCCGTTTACATCTTAGTGTTAACCTACATCTTTTGTTTAGCATTCAGATAAACTGGCTTGTTTTCATTCGTCATCTATGTTACAGTGGGAGTGTATGCCGCTGAATATTGGTTCTTGTGTATGAATTAATTCTTGAATTCCCGAATATCTGGTGTGTTCAGATTGTTTTAGTGTAGACCCATTAAGCCTGTTTACTAGCAGTTGTGGCTTTCTAAGGGCTTAACACTCATTAACACGTCTTTATTCCATCAGCAGCTTCTTACTAATAATATGTAGTTGTCCTCTGCGTCTGACCGTGTGTGATATCTGAGTCTACCACAAGGTTCAGGTATAAGGATTATAGCAATAGCACCATCACATAACCCTGCAGGAGACCGGGCCTAATAAAGTGGGAAGATTACTTTTCCGCCCTCACCCTCATCCCGAGTTGAAGGCGACTGGAAGAACTCTTTTGATCCAAAACTCGCTCATCCCCAGTTCGAAAAGCGGCGCAATCACAAGACGCTCCCAACCATTAGAAATTATTGGAAGCAGCCTTCTTCCTATGTGACTCAGGGACATCTTATGTTTTTTTCTGGCTTATGTATCCTCAATATCCTAGCCAACTTCCATTCAGTCGAAAAAGTGTTGCACCTTTAATATTACGCGAAAATTTGCATAATACGGAGAAAAGCACTGGTGAGCTTTTTCTTGAAAAAGGTCAGCTGCAGTTTCAATGCCTCCCTTTATTCTTACTTACATAAATATTTTTAACTTATTCCTTGCCCAGCAGACTTTGGAGTTCCGGGATGTCTGTGTGCCTGGAAATCAGCCGACGCTCTGTTGGTATCTTTATGACAGCAGCGTCCATGGCGATGGACCACGTTTCCTCGACGGAACGCATTTGGCTTTTCGATTTTGTGAGAAGTCCAAATGTAGAAGCTTCTAGTTTCCATAATATCCGAGATAGATGCCGGCTTCAACCAACTTCCTAGATTTAGGAAAACCTTTCGAAATTGTTAAAAACCGCTTTGTTGCCTGGGCGCAATAAATGTTTTCCAATGGTCAAGAATATGTATTTCCTATTTGACATTTTGCGGTCTTGCTTGGTATAGATATTTTGCTTTTAATTTTATATGTCAAGCCCACGTTTATCGCTCGTGGCAAATTAAGATTTAAATGAACTCTACGTACAAAGTTATCTCTATATATAAAACTTTTTTGCAAAACTCACTGGCTAAATTGACGTTTTAAGAAATTCCATCCACACTTGTGGTCAAATTGAAAAACGTTTTTATGCAACTTTTTGTCTTTCAAACTTTTTGGAAAATCCATTCCTCCTTGATGGAAATGCATGTCAAAGATTTGTTCGGTGGCGTTTCGCGTTCAAATTCATTTTCAAAGAGCCGTATGAAAAATCATTTGATTCGTGTTTCATACTTCTCGCAGGATCCAAGCTTTCTCGGTGGCAAATGTGATTCAAAGATTTTTTGGGCAAAGTTTTCAGTTTTGTCCGATTTGTTTCAAACTAACTCGTTTCGGCGATTTTGGAAATTCTATCCGAAACTGCGGTGGATTGGTGGAGTGGTTCTGCCCGATCAAACTTCAAACTTATTTTCAAAGATCTTTCTGAGAACTAATTAATATGTTTTTCGCAAAATGTACCGCTTTCAAATGGAAAATGTGGGTCAAAGCTCAATAAACAAATGTTTATTTTTTGGTTTGAAGATTCTCGCCACAAGACTAACATGGGCAGAAGCCGTTGATTCCAAATTAAATTCCTTTTTTTGGATGGACTTTAAACATATTTTCAAATCGAAGAAGAGCTTAAGATAGTACGGGTAGATTTTAACTGCGGGAACTGGCTGAAAAGTTATATGTAAAATTATAAGCACAAATCTTGCCACGGACAAGGTCGGGGCAGTATGCCCGCTAGTCTCAATGAATAAAACTGATTGTCCTGACTGACCGAAGCTGAAAGTGCAAGCTATTTTGCGAAAGTTGATTGTATGAAAACTTTTTGTTCGCCATGCAACCGCTGCAAAATAATTTTCAATGAAAATTCATCTGACACGTGTTTTACACATTTCGCAAAATCCTACCTTCTTGGATGCTTGCCGCGGGTCGCAAAATGCTGGCCTCCTCGATGGATAATGGTTAAAAGGACGGAGAAGCGAGTTTTAAGTTTCATCCCGTCGGGCTCAAACTCATTTTCCAAGCACTACACAAAAACTGAATGAATATGTGTTTCAGCGATTTTGGAAATTCTACCCGCAACTGTGGGAATTAAGCGGAAACTGTTGTATGCAATCTTTTCGGAAATTTACTTGATACGCTTTTCGCGAAATCCACAGCTTTTGAATGGAATATGCGGGATAAAGGTTTAATAAATGAAAGTTTACTTTTTGCCTTTTGGTTTGTTTACATCGAGAATTATAAGGTTTTATATGAAAAATTTGCAACGCAAAACTTGCCACGGGCTTGTAAAAACAAGCTATCTCTATATATAAAACTGTTTGTCCTGACTGACTGACTGACTGACTGACTGACTGACTGACTGACTGACTGACTGACTGACTGACTGATTGGTGATCAACGCACAGCCCAAACCGTAAGAGCTAGGGAGCTGAAATTTTCACTGTAGTTACCTTATGTGGTGTAGGTGCACGTTAAGACGGGATTTCGGGAAATTCCACCCGCAAGTGTGGAAAAATAGCGAAAAACGTTTGTATGTAACTTTTTTGTTTACCATCCGATCGGCATCAAACTTATTTTCAAAGATCTTTGTTCAAATTCATTTGAGGGGTGTTTCGCACTTTTTGGAAAATGCATCCCTCCTTGGTGGAAATGGAGGTCAAAAATTAGGTGGGTGACGTTTCGCCCTAAAATTCATTTCCAAGTATCTATATGAAAATTCATTTGAGACGTGTTTTTCACTTTTCGCAGAATTCAAACTTCTTCGGGGGCAATGCGATTCAAAGATTTTTTGGGCGAAGTTTTAAGTTGTGTCCGATTTGCTTCAAACTTATTTTCAAAGCTCTACATAAGAACTTAATAAATACGTATTTCAGCGATTTGGGAAATTCCACCAGCAACAGTGGTAAATTGGCGGAAAACGGTTGTATGAAAGTTTTTTGTTTACCATCCGATAGGCCCCAAACTCATTTTCAAAGATCTATGTTCAAATTCATTTGAGGGGTGTTTCACACTTTTTGAAAAATCCATCCCTCCTTGGTGCAAATGGGGGTCGAAGATTTGGTGGATGACGTTTTGTGTTCAAATTTATTTCCAAAGATCTATAAGAAAAATCATTTGAGACGTGTTTCACATTTTTCGCAAAATCGAAACTCCTTGGGTGGAAAATGCATTTCAAAGTTTTTTTTGGTGAATTTTAAGTTTGTTTATTTTATAACATACGTGCCACGGGCAAGGCCGGGTTATACCCGCTAGTTATTTTATATTTTGTTTGGAAATTAGTTTAAAGTTTATCGAATTAAGAACGAAAGTTGGTTGCAACGTTTTACACCCATTTTAGTCTCGTGGTAAGAGTATGGAAGCCGAAAAATAAACAAAAACTTGTATACAACCGCTTTCCGCCAATCCGCTGAAACACGTATTCATTAGGTTCTTATGTAGGGCTTTGCAATTAGGAAAATCGAATAAAACTTACAACTCCAAAAAATCGTTGATCTACATTTTCCACCGAGGAAGCTTAGATTCTGCGAAAAGTGTGAAACACGTGTCTAAGATTATAATACTACAGATCTTTAGAAATGATTTTGCAACCTATTTCACCCAATCTTTGACCCCAATTTCCACCTAGAAGGGATGCATTTTCAAAAAAGTTTGAAC